GTGAAGCGAACGCGAAAAAGATCATCCCAGATGAAACTGCTGGTTACAACCACGAAGAAGCATCAAAAAACTTTGAGTGTAATGTCTTCAATGTTGCACTCGACAATCTGACTAGTCAAATGAGATCAAGATTTAAAGTAATAGAAGAGGAATGTAGCAAGTTTTCCTTTTTTTGGCCTTTACAGAAATCTCAAACAGACCAAGAACTAGGTTTAAAAGCTGAGAATCTGGCTTAACTTTACCCAGAAGACTTATGTAAAAACGAATTTTCTGATGAAGTTCGGCATTTTTTTTCTGTAAGAAGAAATATTCTAGCCAGCGAAAAGCCTGTCGAACTTCTAAATGAAGTTTATGCAAAGGGGCTGCATTCAATATCTCCGCAAGTGTGTGTTTCTCTTAGAATCTTTCTAACATTGCCCGTTTCAACATCTGAAGGAGAAAGATCTTTCAGCAAGTTAGCTATCATCAAAGATTACCTTCGTTCCACAATGGGCCAGGAGCGATTGTGCTACTTGATGATCCTTTCAATCGAATCAGATTTAGCCATTAACGTTAATTATGAAGAAGTTATTTCAAATTTTTCTGCTTAGAAGGCCCGGAAGATGTGTTTATCAATTAAGAATTTATCATAGTTTGTTTTTGCAAACCAAAATTAAATGTGATTTTAGGTTTTTTATGAAAGTAAACTATATTAATTTATTTGCTATTTTAAGACCTGAAGTATGATAGCGCATCCATTAAACTTTTGGACCCGGGTATCACAAAAGCTCTGGGCGGGCCTATATATATATATATATATATATATATATATATATATATATATATATATATATATATATATATATATATATATATATATATATATATATATATATATATATATATATATATATATATATATATATATATATATATGTATATATTGTCGTTGTTTACAAAAACAAACGAAAAAGGCTTCTGAAAGAAGATCATTATGGTCTTATCTTCAGAACTATTTACAAGTTTTTTACATTAATACATAAACAAGACTAAAAAATTACAACAAATTGTAATATAAATTAAAAGTATAATCATAACACTAATGCTATAAAAAAGTTGGATCTTATTGTCAGAACTTATAAAAGCGCAAATATATAAATTCATATATAAATATATATACAATGTAAATACAGTAAGCTTATTGTATTTACTTTGTGTAGCGTATTTGTATTTTAAATTGTTTAACGTATTTAAATTGTATAACGTCTTTTAAATTGTAAGACTGTTGTATTTTCTTTTTTATATTATAAAGAGATGTCTTATAAGACATTTCTTTATAATAGGAAAGAGAAAATACAACAGTCTTACAATTTAAAAGACAAATACGTTACGTAAAAATACATAAAATATATAAAAAAATATATTTTAAAAAGTATTTAAATATATCATCATTAAATAAAATTTTTATGTTTACTTTTAAAGATCGGAAAAGTATTGGATATATCAAAATTAGGTATAACAATTTTATAACAAAGATATGGTGCTCGCATATAATATAATGCAAAATTTGTTAAATTTTGTTCTGAAAATTGATTCATATAAAAATTTTTTGTTTCTAAGTAAATATTTATTAATTGGGTTTAGAAAAAAAGGTCTTTAAAGATAGGTAAAGTTTAATCGTTATTTCACATGTAAATAAAGCATAAAATGTTATAAACATTGAGCTCGTTAATATTAAGTATTTTCATCTCCTTAAATAATGGTTTGATATGAGTAAAACGATCCGCAAAATTATTCAATTGGATTGCATGCTTCTGAAGGCAATAAAGGCATCGTAACTTTTTCGGTAATTCCCCAAGCATAATTTATATATTTGTGTTGGCATAATTTATATATTTGTGAATAAATGAGTAATAAGGTTTGGTTAAAGCATTTTTGTTTAAATATGATCTGGATTTTTTCTCATATATAAAAATCCAGTAAAATATTTCGTTCCATTGCAAAGTTTAGTATAACTTCAAGTGTTGTTTGGCCGTTTTCAATTCTCACTGAATCTTGCGATTGATCAAGTACCCTTCACCCTCTAAGTTTGTTTTTTTATTAAGGAAAACATTTTTTAAAAAACCTTAGAAAAAGTTGTCTTTAAAATTTTTGTTTCTCGAATTTTGTTTCCCAAATACGATTGTATTCGTAAAAAGCTGTCTTTTTTTCCTAATAACAAACTGACTCAGGAACTAATTTAACTCTCTCACAACTTTAAGTAAGCAATGAATATAGAGAAAGGTCCAGTGAAGAAACTTTTTTTAGGTTAAACTAACGACAAGTTTGCAGTGAAAGTTAGTTCAGTAACGAGCTCTTTTTTTTTTTCTTCTTCTACCAGACCTCTTTTTTTTTAACCGTCTCACTCAAAACACCACAACTTTTGTAATAAAAAGTTCTTTTATTAAAATCTAAGATTTGGTTTAAGGTCTTGAACAAAACATGATAACAAAAGTTTAATTATTACGTTATTAAGATAATTATTTGACAAATATATTAAAGAGTTTATAAAATTATATTATAAAATTCGTTTACATTATTAATAGTGAAGGACATTTAATTATTGGGCTATAATTTTAGAGGACCTTTTTTTTTTTTTAAAGTCATTTTTAGGCTCTGGCCCATAAAAAGGCCTCCAAAAACAAAATAGCCCCGGACCCCAAGAAGTCTTAATCGCCACTGATTTTAGATGCCAAATTATGTTGCTTATAGAATTGCCAGACCATTTTATTCTACTATTTTCCTCGGGATACTTTTTTTTGACAATGATGGCATATTACAAATGTGTTATTTGTTATAGGCGAATCTACATGATCCTAAACATGATTTAGTTGCTCTAAAAATTTTTTTTGTTATAAAATTCAAAAGTCAATGTTAAGTTGACTTCATTATTTCTCGTTCATTAAATGATATTTTAAAAAGTATATTTCACGAAAGTCTACGTTTATTTATAAAAATTTACAACCAAAGTTTTTTTATATCATAATATTTAGTACTTTAGTTACTTAGTTAATTATACGTATTTCATTCATAAAACGTAATTAAATATAATTATTATGCCGCGTTTAGTAAGCTTTTTTCTGTTAAAAATTGTTTCCCAAGTTGCGATGCAAAACAGTTTCGTTTCGAAAGAAATTTTATTTTTTATCATTATTTTGAAAAGTAAACCTCAAAATGTTAAAATATTGCGATACCGAAAATAAAATTTTATTATAAACATTTTGGTATATAAAGATTTCGTTTTTTTTACAATTATATCCGTTTCGCGAACAACCTTTTTTTATAGACTTCAAAACCTCGTTAAGCGAGGAGCTCGTTTCGTAAGTGCAACTTCCATATGTAGCGAAATAGTTTTAAAAAAATGTAAAACGCATCTCCTAAGTTATAAAAATTTTGAAGCCAAAATTGCCATATTGGAAAACCCCAGAATTAATAATACGCGTAGTAAATATTTTTAAGTACGACCAACTATATGCATATTAAATTAAACATCAGATTTCAAGTGAGAAAAAAAGATGCAAAGATCTGACAATTGGCAACCGTGTAATTTTGGTGTTATATGCGCAGACTATTTTATGGAAAGAAGAATTTATAGAACTGGTTTATTGTTTGACTCATGATTAAAATATTTTCCTTAATTATATAAAAGTTGCTTGCAAAGCTCAAACATATGTATTCATTAGTATATATAAGTTCCATCAAAGATTGAAGTCAATCGACACACCAAGATATTTTGATAACTCTCAAAGTATATAGCCGTTTTGATTTTATTTTCAACACTTTTTGAGAAAAAGTTTTTGAATGAGTTGTAACAAAACCACCAACCTCCCTTCGTTCTTATAGCGTGACGTTATTTATGGACGACCCCTAAAAGGCTTTATAGTTCATGTTGAGGATGACTCTTTTACAACTATATTTATCGCATGTAAAACATGTCCTTACTTGTCTAGCTAAAGCTATGTTAAATTTCTCATTAAAAATGCGCAATATATAATAGATTGAAGCAAATAATTCTTTAAAAAAAAGCGACAACATTTATGTCAACCCCAATGTATTTTGATATATTTGATATAATACAACATATAATTTATATATATATTTATGTATATATTACGAGTATTAGATTTATACTAATTTATGTTTTAATAAGAATATTTATTTGTATTAAACTATATATATATATATATATATATATATATATATATATATATATATATATATATATATATATATATATATATATATATATATATATATATATATATATATATATATATATATATATATATATATATATATATATATATATATATATATATATATATATATATATATATATATATATATATATATATATATATATATATATATATATATATATATATATATATATATATATATATATATATATATATATATATATATATATATATATATATATATATATATATATATATATATATATATATATATATATATATATAGTTTAAGTTAAACAATTTATTGACTACGTATCGTATTTTATTTTAATACCAATCGCACTCAGTAGTTTACGCAGATAAGGATATTGGATAAAAATGGGACAAGAATTTGAGATTCGTCTCCCATTTCAAATACAAAATGTTTAAATTTATGATTTAACGTCATATTAGAATATTAATAAAAGAGGAATAAAAAGTTATTTTTACTTAAGTTAAAAAACTTTCGCAGTTTTCAGGGTTTAGAGCCAAATGCTGTTGGAGAAGTCAACCCCAAGCAAAAATCATGCATAAGCTACTGATTTAACTAATTTTACAATATAATCTGTATTTTTACATAACATTAAAAAAAAAAAAAACACAAAATAAAAACTTTAATAAAAATATATACATTTCGAAAAAATAATTGAAATTAAATATCAAGACTCTTATTTAAAATCATAAAATATTTTTAAAAAATTAAAAGCATTTATTTTTGTTAATCAGCACAACAAAGAATTAAAAAATAGATTTAAAATAAAACTTAAAAAAAAAAAATTATTACGCTTAATTTTTTTAAGGAAATTTTGATAAAACCTAAAAACTCAAAAAACATTTATATAAATAAATTAACAACATACTACATACATGATGTGTACATAAATCTGATGTTTAAATGTATATAATATGTATATATTGATAGTATATTAAATCTAACGTTCACATTGTCAGCTGGCGTGTTGTAACATGTTTTGCTGTTTACTTTTGATTTTCATATTTCATCACATCACTTTTTCATCATTGTTCGTTTTCGTTTTGATGTAATTATAATACTGCACAGCATTATCAAAACATCATTTGATCATATATACTACTAAATTAGTATTTGCAAATGAATATTGTAATCAACATTCTGAACCTTTGCTGCAGTCAACAAAAGAAATTTCTGCTACAGCGTTATCATGTTTTTCATGCAAAGTTTCTAAACTGGGTACTTTTTCTGAACATATCTCATTATTATTGGCAATAGTTGGTTGAGTATCATCTTTAGGAAGATTTAACAAAAAAGCTTCATTTTCAGGAGAATTTTCATTACAAGATACTGCAATTTTATTGAAATCACTCATTACATTAATATCGCTATCAACATCATTAATACATATTTTATCAACAGAAGAAATGTTTAACTCTTCTACCAACTGTGATGGACAAGTAGTGCTATTATCAATATTTTCCGATTGAACTACTATGTCATCTTCTTTAAAAGATAATATACTAACTTGTTTAGTTTCACTAACTTCATTAACTTCACTGGACAACCTTGCATTTTCTTTAAACTGAAAAGCATCAACTTCATTAGGCTGTAATATAGTTTCTTTAGATTGAAAATAATCTATTTGATCAAGTTGTACTGAATTTTTTTCAGAATAAAAACTGTCTGCGTTGGACTGTGTTGCATTTTCTTTAGACTGAAAAGTATCAATTTCATCAGGCTGTATTAGATTTTCCTTATACTGACATGTATTAACTTCATCAGTCAGATTTTCTTTAGGCATTATAGAACTATCAGAGGATGGTGGTATTTTTTCGGCATCAGGGTTATAAAGTTCTCTTTTAGAATCATTACATACATTATTATCACACATTTCTTTATTTTTACATGCATTATCATCAAATATTTTGTTATTACTAGATTCAGTATGACCATAATCACCACAACTGGCATTTGAGTCACATTCTTTTGTTAAAAGATTTTGTGTTTCAGTACAACCATTACCAAGCTCAACAACAGCTTCGGATCTTGCATCTGAAAGATTATAGCACAAATGATCTGTAACATTGGAGTCAACAAGATTATAGCACAAATGATCTGTAACATTGGAGTCAACAAGATTAGATAGAGTAGATTCTGATAAATTTGATTTTTCAGAATTTTGATCTTTTATGAAATTGGAATTGTTTACCAATTCATTTGAGTCATTCAACTCAGAATTTTTAATATAATTCTGATTTTCAAGAGTTAAGTTTTGAAAATTATCTAATTGGTGGTGTCCTGTAATGACTTCATCATTACTATTAGATTCTTGAATACAACAACCAGAGACAGTTGGAGTACTGTTTGGGGCAGTTGAGTCACTACTACAAGAATCAGAATTAGCTGTAGTAATTTTAGAGTTTTTATTTATATCAGAGTTTTCACTTGGAAAAATGCTACTAGATTCTTTGAAAACATCTTTTAAACTTTCAGTACATTTAAAAGTTTCTGTAAAACTGCATGTTTCAATACTAGATGCTTTGTGAGACAATTCATCACTAGATAAACTATGGGATGGATTAGATGAGCTGCTCTCAGAAAGATCACTTGTTATAGAACTTTTTGTTTCTGTTTTTACCATAATATCTGTTAAAGGTTCTGTAGTAAACACCTCATCATTTTTTTCAATATCATGATCATTGTTGTTTGACAAATTTGAATCATTATGAACATCAGTGATAATTTGGGCCAAATCTTCTGAGTCTGATAAAACCTTATTTTCAAGAACTTCTGTGTCCTAATATATATATATATATATATATATATATATATATATATATATATATATATATATATATATATATATATATATATATATATATATATATATATATATATATATACATATATATATATATATATATATATATATATATATATATATATATATATATATATATATATATATATATATATATATATATATATATATATATATATATATATATATATATATATATATATATATACACACACACATATATATAAATATATATATATTTATATATATACACACACGCACATATATAAATAATTTGAAAAATAAAAAAAAACATACCTTATTATCAGAACAGGTTGAAGCAAAACTACTTGATCTATTCAAATCAAAGCTGTTTGATCTATTCAAATCTAATATAGAATAAAAGATGCACATAATCTCATTACTAAATTTTAATTGTAAAAATGCATTGAAAAAAAAATTAATAAAGTTTCCGAAACAAAAAAACAATAAATAAAAAAAAATTATTAGCTTTAGTTTTCTGATATAAGCAATCATTTTATAAAGACAATAAATGTCTCAAATAACTACTAGGCTGCTGACACAACAGTCAACATTATGCCTAACTACAGCTAATAGAAATTTAGTAGTAATATTTTAAATGTCTCAATCTTCATGAGTCAAAATAACTGTTGTTTTATAAGTTAGACAACAGTTATTATTTAATGGCAGTATATCTAATTATAAATCAACATCATCATTACTTATGCTGTTATTTACAGTCATTGTTTTCTGCTGGTATATTTAGTTATAGATTAGACAAATGTAATTAAAACAAATAACTTCTATGAAACAGTGAATTTACTTTTGTAGTACAAAATGGAGGATTGCAAAGGCTATAAATAATATAGAAATAAATAAAATATAACTGTTTCCGCATTATGATTAGTACAAACAAACAATAACAAATATTAGAGATGTCCTAGATATGCTAGCTGGCCCAGGAGTAGAAATACCTAGTATGAAATAAGGAAGCAACCTCTAACTAAATAGTTCAACAGTGTACAATAGTACAACCTCTAATTAAATAGTACAACACCTCTAACTAAATAGTACAACTATAAAATATATAACTCTTTCCACATGATGATTAGTACAAACAAACAATAACAAATATTAGAGATATCTTAGATATGCTAGCTGGCCCAGGAGTAGAAATACCTAGTATGAAATAAGGAAGCAACCGCTAAAAAGTACAACAGTATCATTTGAGCAATGCTAAAAATATGAAGCAATTGCTCAATTCATGTATGTGTTTCTGAGAAATGCAAGTATAACATTATTAATAATTATTTTTGATTAAATATTTTGACTTATAAATGTTTCATTGATAAAATATAAGTTCTAATATCTTATGTAATTGATATGTAATTTGATTCAGCTATGACTTTACTTTTTCTTTTTTTTTTCATTATACAATTGACAAATAGTAAGAAAAAAGAAAAAAATCTTAAAAATTGGTAAGAAAAAAGAAAGGAAAAAAAAAACGTTTTAAGAACTAAGCATTTAGGTTGTAAATAAGTAGCAAAACTTATTAATCCATCAATCCAATCAAACTAATCCGTCCAATCCAATCCAAACCAACAATTCATCCAATCCAATCAAACTAAAATATTGGTTATCTAAAGATACATGACTTTTTTTTTATGGATTTGCTTTGATTTTTTTATCATTTATATTCCATAACTTTTTGATAGAAATTTCTTAAAAAAAGTGAAACTTTTTTACTATTTGGCACATTTTTTGTATAATTATTATTTAACTATTTTGAACTTTCAGGTGCAAAACAAAATGTTTAAGTAACTGAAAGTTTATTTTAGATCTTCTTTTCTCTTTACACATTTTCAAATGAAATTTTTAGCATGATTGTTAAGTAAAGTTTAACAATGATGGACCAATCGCTCATCTGTTTTACATTGGAAATACAAATTGTTTTTGATTTAGAGGGATTGTTTTGTTTAAATAACTTTTAAATAAAACTTTTAGTAATCGGATGTTATGTAGAATAAAATTGTATTTGGCTATCTATTACGACCAGATACTCTTAAGTGTTATCAGAGACCTTCCCATTACAAAAATTTTCTTTCTAACTTAGTTGTATGAAGGAAATGTACTATATCAAGAGACTGTATAAAACAGGAAACATTGCAGCCAGGAAATAAATATATAAGTATCCTGTACTAACCTTGATAGATAATCTTATATTCATTGCTTTATCTGTAGTTATTGGCGAGTATCAGGATTGTATCCATCAAGGGCTTGGTGATTACTAATAAACTATTATAAGAAAGCTCTTCATTACACAAATAAAGTAAGCCATAAAAACAGGAAAGCCGGATAAAAACAAATACTGAAACTTTTTAGTTGCTGTGTAATAGATTCCATTTTATGAAGTTATTAATATTTTGCGACATAATTTTTCTAAATCAAAACAGACTTTTAGTATAAATTTGCATAATTTTAATTAAATTTTGCATAATTTTATCTGAATTTTTATATAAAAAATGAACCTATTGATAAATCATATTTGCTAGGTTTAAAGTAAAGAGCTACTCCGGTTTCACTGGTCAATTTATTTCTAGCTTTGTGGATAATAAAACTTTTTATGTTTCAATTCATTTCTTAGAAAAAATATTTGAAATTTCTTCTGATATTTTAACTCATAATGTTTTACATAGTTCCTGGTATTTGATATTGTTTATGATAGCAATTCTTGGTTTTGCATGTAGTTTCTAGTACTTTTTGTAGTTCCCAATGTTTTATATGGTTTTTGGTACTTCATATACTTCAGAATATTAAACATTGTCCTTGTTGTCTAATCTAATTTTTAGTGTTTTGTACAGTTCCTGGTATTTTTATAATTATAAATGTTTTATGTGGTGTTTCATATTATTCCTGATATTTGAAGTAGTTTTTGGTGTTTTGTACCTGATGTTTTATATAGCTAATTATATTTTGTAAAACTCCAAATATTTTATCTATTTCCTGATACTAATTATATTTTGTAAAACTCCAAATATTTTATGTATTTCCTGATACTAATTTAGAGTTCTGATATAAAGTTACTAGTATTTTATCTAGTTCCTAATATTTCAGTTTGGTATATTTAATAAAGTTTGTGTTTGATGGATAGCCACAAGGTTCCATACTTGATTTTATGTTATTTTTCACCTGTATTAATAATCTTCCTGATATTCTTATCTCCTAAGTAACTCTATTTGACAATAATACATACTTTAACAACTTAAACAAGTGTTATCTTTATGTCAAGATGTATACTATAGTCTTGATACAAAGTCATCAGTTGAAACAAGCAGCAAAGCTTGAATGAGATCTCTCTTCTGTGACAGCAATAGCTTGAGAATATTGAGACTGGAAGTAGCTTGAGAATATTGACCTAAATTAAATTTAATTGGTACTGCTAACAATTATCACAATAATGTTAATACTTAATACTATGTTGATATAATATTGATAAATGGAACTTACAACCCTCTAGTTAATGCTTTTTTTGATTCTCATATAAATCATACAAAAAAACTATTCAAGAATTTGCATCGCATAAAGTTGCTAGCGAGCTATTATCTCTTTTTCTACCAACTAAAACTCAACCTTACATAACTCACCATTTAGCAAGGTATTCTCAAGAACTATGATAATGATATAATGCTAAGATATTGTAGTAGTGGTAAAGTGAAAGCTTTGTAAGCATAAAAGTTTGATGCACACTATCAACCCTGGTACTATTGCGCTTAATTTGTTTCACTGCACAAAGCCTTGTTTTTCAACACTTGTGTTTTGGAATTTAGAGAATCAATTATTTAAAAAACAAATAAATTTGAGTAACATCAACAATTGTATTGGCCCCCTGTGGAAATAAATACAGTTAAAAAAAAAACTTTTAATTAGTTTTTTCCTTTAAATATCAATCCTTTGGAATTCTCTCATACTTTCATGTTTTTCTGACTGTTACAGTTTTTCAAGTATTCTGTCAACTGTTATCTTGCTTTTTCACATATGTATCAAATAACATAAATAAAGTAGGAAAAAGTAATGAAAAAAAAGCAACGCAGTCCTTTCTGTAATAGCTAGACCATAGTCCTTTTTTGTGAAAACTAGAGACAATTGATATATTTTATTTTTATTTTTGAATTTAGGATGTAAATTAATAAATCTTATCTTAAAACCTGATGAAAAAATTAAATTTATTTTACAGTGTAAATTTATTAAATAGTTAAACCTTAGAAACCATGGTGGTATAACAAAAAAAAAAACAATATTGAACCTAAAAAAACTAACCTGGAGAAGGAGCTTCGATAACAATTTGATCATAGAAAGAAACTTTTGATGGTATAGATATTCTATTTTTTTTGCTTTGTGGAATAACCATTACTTCTTCACAAGCTAATTTCCATACTTGGAGATTTAGTAAACAGTTTTCTAAAGTGACAAGATACTTTGAACAAATACTCTCATCAGAAAACCTAAATGATCGTTGAGCAGCTTGTGACTTGATATGGATTGTCAAACAGTCCTTAGTTATTTCTGTGTTCTAATGGAAAAGAAATACTTTAGACTAAAAGTTTCAACTTTCAGTGTTTCTACTTTAAGTTTGCGTCTAGTTAATTACCTGAGTAAGTTTAATAGCGTCAACTGGTTTACTACTTTTAGAATATGTATTTTGATTACACCAGCAACTTAATTCACACTGATACAATACTACATACCACTCAACGAACTCATTGTCCATCTATTTTATAATAAAATAATCAAAGAATTTAAAAAACCACTTTAGAAAAAAAAACTTTTATAAAAACAAATGTTAAAAATATATATGTTAAAAATAAAGTATAAAATTTTGATAACAAAGTAATTTAAAACAGAATTAATAAACATAAAAATTACCTTTGCAACAAAACAATTTCCAAGAAAAATCTCCTCGCGCATACATAAAGGAACAGCAGCTAATTGACAGCAAAATTGCCCCCACAATTCTAGTGGATGAACTGGAAATTCAGAAGCATCTCCTAATACTGCCACTCCACTTGCTCCTTTACTGCCTGACACATTAAAACAACAAAGTAAATTGTACTATTTTAAAACAACATTATTTATTTTACTATTATAAATTTTATTCACCCATTAGAAGATCTTTAGATATAACTCCTTGTTTGATATCATCTACAGATAATTGTGTATGACCAGCTAATGCAAACTTTGGAACATTAAATTGAACTGCACGCTTTTTTACAATAAGGGTGCTTTTGGATGGCACTTTGGAGCCATATCTTTCATTTGCTGTTATAACCGTGTAATAAAGTTCAAATTCCATTTTGAAATCTGCTTGGAGCTCTTCACTAAAAAGCATAAGACAGTTCATCTATTTTTCCATAAATTTTTTTCTTTTAGTTTTATTAACCCTGTTATTTTGTTATATATATATATATATATATATATATATATATATATATATATATATATATATATATATATATATATATATATATATATATATATATATATATATATATATATATATATATATATATATATACACTTACTAAAGCATATTTTTATAAGCATTTGCTCACTTTTTTTTGCTTACTTTAACCCATACGGCTTAAAGTAAGCAAAAAAAAGTGAGCAAATGCTTTGCTTACTTTATCCCAAACCCTCAGTCGATGTAACAGCACTCCACTGCCAGTCAGGCTATTTGTCAGTCAATGTATGTACTGAAGCCCCCAATAGCAGGCTATTGGGGGCTTCAGTATATTCACTATATATATATATATATATATATATATATATATATATATATATATATATATATATATATATATATATATATATATATATATATATATACACACACAGTGGGTGCTCATATTATTAGAAACACGACCAAATTTTAAAAACTTTGTGAATAAAGTTCAAAATTAACAAAACATTTTAACAAAATAATTTTTTTTATTTTACAAATAGTATGTATGTACCTTTTACTTTAATCTGGGAGTTTGGCAACATTGCATTTCATCTCATTATGAAGTTATAGGGCTTTTCCCGAATTTTGACAATTTTGGCAGTTATACCTGTGCTGTTGTCGCGTGAAGTGCTGCTTGTGTATTGCTCTCTTTTTAAAGTTTTCAAAGATTTTTTTATTGTTTTGTTATTGAGTTCTATTTATGTGTCTATTTTTTACAGTTAAACATGATTAAATCAATATTTTTACATATAATGACTTCTATAACGGTTTACTAGAATCACGTGTTTTTTTCAATATGGGAAAGGCAAAAGATGTTTCACCCTCAAAAAAAAGAGAAGTTGGAGCATTATTGAAGAATACTTCTTATTCTCAAAGGTGTATAGCATCAATGACAAAGTGTTCAGTGGCAACAGTCAACCGAATAAAAAAAAATCTGGACAAAAATGCTGATTATACTCCTCAACGAACAGGACATTGTGGTAGAAAACAGCTAACAACGCCAAGAGACGATAGAAAAATATGAGATATTTGCCTAGAAAATAGGAATAAGCCTAGGGGAATACTAATCACTTTAATACAAGATGCTGGAATACCAGTATCTCCAATGACAGTTCGTCGCCAACTCAAAGAACAAGGATTTTGATGCTGTCAACCTGCTAAAAAGCCTAAGCTCACTCTAGCAATGCAACAAAAACGCCTTGTTTGGGCTAAAAGTTATCGGCATTTGACCGTCGATGACTGGAAAAATGTAAGTACTTCATTTATAATTGTACACATTCCATTTAGAGATTTGCCTACATTAAAACTTTGACTTATAAGTTTTTTTTGATGTTATTTAGGTATGTTTCTGGGATGAATCGACAATCCAGATATTGATGAACAAATCACAGTTTGTGCGTAGACGAGCTGGAGAAAAATTCCACAAAGACTGCATCTTAGAACATGTAAAGCATCCTCTAAGTATAATGATATGGTCTGTCATTAGTGGACATGGAACAGGGCGCTTATATATTGTTGAGGGAACTATGCGCCAGGACCAATACATAAAAGTTCTTGACACAAGATTGGTACCACAGTTGAAGGAATGGTTCCCAAAGAACCAAAAATTTACATTTATGCATGATTCTGCCCCATGCCATAAAGCAAAGAAGGTTACAGAGTACCTAAAAGCGAAGAAAATTCCAGTGCTACCATGGCCTGGAAACTCACCAGATTTAAACCCTATTGAAAATCTGTGGGAAATCATGAAAAGGGAAATTGCTTCTGAAATGATCACCAACAAAATACAATTAATTGAAAAGATGATCAAAGTCTGGCACAATAACATAGATATTCAAAATAATGCAATAAAATGCATAGAAAGTATGCCAAGACATGTAGAAGCGGTAATAAGTGCCAAGGGAGGGATAACAAAATACTAAAATAAATCACCAATATGTAATCTTTTGCTTGTACAATAGTGGAATTATTTTTAAAAAAATATAAATAAGTATGTTTTTTATAATAAATATAGACCGCAACACTCAAAAGTTACGAAAAAATAGTCTGCATATATATATATATGTACATTTAAATAGACAAGACAGATTTTTTAACTATTAAAACTATTTTATTAAAGAAAATTAATTAGAAATTAGATCTAATATCTAACAAATTTGAAAATTTGATTGCACAAATATTAAATTTTGGTGATTTATTGACACTTTTTGACTCCTGTGAATAAACCTAAAAGGTTTTCAGAATTCAAAAAAAAAAATTCAATATACAAAACTACAAGTCTACACAACTTATAAACTTAAAGTCAAAAAATTTTTTTGGGCTTCAAGTTTACAAGTTGAAAACTATTTCTTTACAAACCAAGTACATATAAAGGAAACATAAACTTTTTTTCCAACATTTTAATCCTTTTAGTGACTTATACTGTTTTAAAAGAAAGTTAAAAATAAAAAAGTATTTTTAAAGAAATGTTTGAAAAAAATTGTTTTAAAAAATTTAGGTTACATTAAGGATAGATTTTGTTTTAATTTCAATATTGTTTAGGAAGCACACATACAATTTAAAAGTGAACAAAACACCCCATGTGACCATGATGTACCACCCTTAAACATCTTTTAAATTAAAAAAAAAATCTTATAAATAAAACACCTTATAAAAACTAAACAGATTAACAATTGACCAAGTACAATTTAGAACTTGCAAATCAAAAATGTGATGCATAATCATCAATGACTGAAAAAAAAAAAAAAAATCTAATCTGGGCTACTGAACTTTATAAGGAAAAGCTAGTGACTCTGAAGAATCCAAATCCTACTGCTCAATAGAAGACCTTAATGAATATAAAATTTAGAATGCAGAACCTGTCATATCTTAAAAATAAAGAAAATTGATTAAATATTTTTTTTTTTTAATTTTATTTAAAAGTTTCTTTTTAGTAGAAAATAAAATATAGAAAAACATTTGCTAATTAACTATTTTTGAACAAAAAATTTAAACTTTAAAATTTTAAGTTGATAGTTTAGAAAACTAAAGATGGACAGGTCTGTTTCAAAATAAATCTTGTGCAGACCTGTCAATCTTTAAGTTACTGAGCTATAAAACCTAAATTAAAAAGTTTATTTTCCGCTTTTTAGTATAGAAAAGATTATATTAATAAGCAAATGTTTTTGTTATATTTTATTTTCTGCTTTTTTGCCTGTACAATGAGTTACAATTAGGTATTTAACAATGCAAATTATTGTTGTCTACTATTGTCATTGTTGCAATATTATAGTTAAAGAGTATTAAGACTACAAGAAATAAAAAGAGTTTTAATTAAGTTCCCTAGTAGCAAGCAACAATGATGTAATATTGGTACAATATTGTGTAATATATATCTCCATGTTAGCTAAATGTTGTTAACAATATTACAATGTCCACATTTATATATATATATATATATATATATATATATATATATATATATATATATATATATATATATATATATATATATATATATATATATGTATTTATATTTATCTTTATATTTATATATATATATATATACATATATATATATATATATATATATATATATATATATATATATATATATATATATATATATATATATATATATATATATACGTGTATATATATATATATATATATATATATATATATATATATATATATATATATATATATATATATATATATATATATATATATATGTATATATATATAGGGATTGTTCCCAGGAATTCGTTCCCGGGAAATTCCCGGGGAAAAAATTAACCAAAATTTCGAAATCCCAGGAAATTTTTTTTCATTATGGGAATATTTCTCTTGCTGAATATCAACTTTGTTTTGCACATGCAATATATTTAGCTGTAGTTGATGTAATTTATAAAAATAAAAATGAAACTAATCAGATTTCTAACGAAGAAGATATTGAAGATGATTTTGATGTTTTTGATGATGATGATGATGATGATGATGATGATGATGATGATGATGATGATGATGATGTTGTAACTTTTAAAAGATCTCCCTTAAAAATGAATACTTTGAAACGTTATTCTAAAAGTGAATTTAGACAAGAGCTAGTACTTATTTTAGATTCAAAAACTTGTTGGAATTCAATGCTGGCCATGATTCAAAGATTTATTAAAGTTAAGAAACCAGTTAGTAAATCTCTGGTGGATTTAAGTTTAGAAAAACTCATGTTGTCTGTAATTGAAAGTTTAGCAAAAAGTCTTGAGCCAATTGTTTTAGGTTATGAAATGATTTGTAGAAGGGAAGCAACATTATTAACAGCTGACAACACATTAAAAATTATTGTTACAGAACTTGATGCTCAAGATAGCTATTTATCAAATAATTATTAGAATGCTCTAGTTGAAAGGATATGTCAAAGAAAGAAAAGTGATCTTGTTGGTTTATTAAGGTTTTTACACAATCCACAATCTTTAAAAAGTGATATGTATAATAACTTATTTTGCATACCATCTAAAACAGAGATGATAAATATAGTTATCGACATAACTGGTAGACTTTTCCCCATAATTGAAAATATACCAAAAGTAGGAGATAATGATAAGTTTAACAATAGTAATGTCAATTTAGAAAAGTCATCTGAATCTATGGCTGAAAGATGAGACAAATTTTTGAGAAAAAAAGACAACTTTGTGGTCAATTGTAATAAATCAACTATGCTTCAAGAATTCAATTTGTTTGAAGCAACTAACAAAAGATCATATAATTTAGATATGCTTTATAATGCACTTTTAACTATTTGACCTTCCAGTGTTGAAGCTGAGTGTTTAGTTCAACAGGCTTATTTTTTACAAAGTTTAGAACTAGATTGTCAGACAGTCATCTGGATGCACTGGTTTTTCTAAAAGGTCACTTTAAATCACAAAAATAAATTTTTTTTTAAGTAATTATTTTAAAAAAACCTGTTTTAAGTTTTTACCCCCTTAAAAAAAATTTTCCTTATAAAATTTTTACACCAGCATTATTAATTGCTATTTAAAACTATTTTGAAGATAATCTTACCTAATTTCTATATTCTGCACTACAATTTTAGCCTTTAGTTTGTCAAATGACCCCCTGATTTTTTACAAAATCAGAAATTTTACAAAACTTCTGATTTTTTTATAAATTATTTTAAATATTATTTTAAATATTATATTATTTTTCAATCATCTCTGAAAATTTCAGGCATATAGATCCCGAGTACTCAGAAAAACCACCAGAGTAGAAATATGATGAGTACCTAGTATCTTGATTCTATTCTCTACCTCAATAAGTCTTCCTTGTATAAAATATTGCCATTAGTGAAGGGTTGCATCTCTTTCTTGCTTCTACAATTATTAGCGCAGTCACTGCTTACTTGTAAAAACTAAACTAAACTACTACAAAAAACCGAAGTTGAGAGAAAAAAACATTTGAAAATGGAAAGTAATTTAAAAGAATTAAAAGAAAATATAAAAATTGCTCCATTTTTGAAGAAGCAAAAAATTAAAAAAAAATTTTAATTTTATTTATTTTGACGGATGTATGTTTTTGTTGTTTTTGTTGTTCTTGTTGTTTTTTTCTTTTTGTATTCTTGTGTATTTTATATTGAGCATTGTAGTGTATAATGTGTTATATGTTTTGATGCGTTGTTTGCATTGGTATGCATTTTTTTTAGTTTTATGTTGATTGGACATTTTTTTTTAAATGTATATTTTTAAAGCTGTATATAAAATTATATATGTATATGTATCTATATGTGTATGTATACATATGTATGAGTGTATGTACGCGCACGTGTGTATTTATGTGAAAATATGTGTGTATCTATGCATGTGGGTAAGTATGTGTATATATCTTTATATTTATGTTTGTGTATGCATCTAACAATATTGAACTTTCTCATTTTTTTAATACTTTTTTGTTTTTATTTATTTTATCTTTAATTTTTATCATATTTTTGTTATATTTTTTGTAGTATTACTTTTAATTTTAAACATTTATCGAAACCACAATTATTATTACTTTTAACATTACTATTATTATTCCTATTTTATTATTTTCAATTTAAATAACTGTATTATGTCCTTGTTAGTTGTTACATTTTTTCAGTCAACTGTTTGTAACTACTCATATGTATATTTAGCTATTGTGTTTATGAAAACAAGTGACTTATAATTTTGATTATTATTGTTATTATAATTACTATTATAATTGTTATTGTTGTTTGTTTTTTTATTGTTATTGTAGTTTTTATGTTTATTACTATAAACATTATTTTTATTATTATCATAACTATTCTTATAACTATTCCTAATTATGTATAAGAAGATCTGTATTTTGGTGTTTACTTTAGATTAGTAGAATTACTATTTGTAAATATTCATGAAATTATTTTTTCAGAATATATATCTATATGATTGATTGTACCAGCAAGTAATTTTCTTTTGTTCCAACCAACGGAACGCAGTTTGCATGACTCAACATTCAGCCAAGTCACAACCCTCTACTGTAATTGCTCTTCATACTCAAAAAAACAATATCTTTTCCTCTTTTCCTTAGTTTTTTCTCCTTTAAACATGTTTTAGAATTCTCTTTCTTTATATTCTAGTTTAACTCTTTTCTTTATATTCAAGTAACTCTCAACTTAAATAGTGGTTGCGTGCAACTTTGTTGAAAGTGTTTCAGTTTAACTTAAATAGAGCTTTGTTGAAAGTAAATTAGTTTAGAAAAAAATTATATTATAATTCTTTCACTTAATGTTTAACATCAAGATTACATCTGCAATAAAAACATTCACAAAACAAATTAGATTTATCTTACTTATAGACAGTAGTACTTTATGTATTTAAGGATAATTTAAAAGATATAAAATTTTTTGCATCTTTTGTACTTTTAAAATCAATTTAATTGGCAAAGTTATACACAATTTTATAATATTTTTTTTGGTAATTTAAAAACATTTTATGAAAATATTTTTGTATAACAATAAATTTCAATTAAAAGTTATATTTTATATATTAAAAACATTTTTTTTTTTAATAATATTTTTCATTTTTTCATTTCTTTAATTTTAACATGTTATTACATTTTACCAAAGCAGTAGAACTTTTTATATTTTATTGAAATATATATTTAAAACATGTCTACTTTTTGTTCAATTTTTATAATTTATTTAATTCTACCTTGATGCTCAATCTATTATTTTAGTTTAGAAGTATAGTTTTAACCAAGTTTTTATGATTTGAAATTTACTTATTTAAATGCGGTAGTGGTGTAGTGGTAGAGCGCTCGCTTCATAAACGAGTGGTTTGGAGTTCGATCCTCACCACATCCCTGGTAGTACTGCGCTCAACTCGTTTCTCCGCGCAGCGGCCTTGTTCATCAAGGTTCGTGTTTCGGAGTTATAGAGTTGAGAGAGGGTTATAGCCACAAATAAGTAGCCTCCTTGTCTGTAGTGGCCTTCTCGGCCTTGAGGAGGTTAATTAAAATTAAAAAAAAAAAAAAAAATGGTAAGCCAGCGGCTTACTAATCGATTTGGTTTTTTTTTAATACCACAAATAAAAATTACCCATTTTACAGATCGTAAGTGATATTAAAAATTAGGCTAGTAAATATTATTAAAAATTATCTAGGAAAAACTTTTAAAAATTAACAATAAAATAACTCACAACACAAGAGGTTCATCAAAGTACATATCTGTATCAGTGCTTGTTACTTCATATAGTGGAGTGTCTCTAACTTCGTTACCACATCGAATCAATGCAAAAGCATAAAACAGCTGATCTTAATTTCAAAAAATTATTTTTTTGGTTTCAATAAATTGTTATTAAAAAAAGAGCTGAATAAAAAGACATTTTAGATAATGCAGTTTATTAGTACTTTAGTGTCTTTTAATATTTGTAAAAAAGTTTTAAACTCATTTATAAATATTAAGAATCTTCAAGTGTTTAAACTATTTTATTTATGCAAAAAAAAAAATCTGAATTCAGATTTTTATATCAAAAAGATATCTGAATTAAGTTTTTTATATCTGATACAAGGTTGTTTTTTTTTTTTTTTTTTTTTCATTTTTGCAAAATTTTACTAATGTAAAAATGGCATAATATTTTACCAATGAATTTGTGTCCTTAAGTATCAAATCAATCGCACACACACACATACAAAACAACCCTAGGTTTTAATTATTTTTGAGACAAGCTTGCACTTATAAAATGTTTGAAAAATGTAATGAGAACTGCATGATATATAGTTGCGGTTTGTTTTTAATGAGTATTCTTTATTATTAATAAGTATTAATAAGTAACTTAATATGTATTTTCAAAATGGTAATATTAATATTACTTTTGCTGGAGATAATAGCTATATATTTATTACAAATAATTTGAAATACAGACTAAAGATTGCAATGTACATATTTTGTTTTTCAGTTACTGACATATTTACAGATTATTATAGTTGTAGTCTATGGTAGTGTTAACTAACAAAGGGCAAAAAGTTTAAAAAAAAAATAAAGAATATTTTTATTTTTTTTATTTATTTCATTTTTATTATACTTTACTTCAATTTTCTTTATTAATAACTTTCACATTCATTTTGTTACTAACTTAAATGACTGGTGACCAAAATTAGTTTCAAAACTATTTGTTTTTGTTTTTTTCTTTTTAGATCTTAAAGATTGCAAATTGCAATAGTTTTTAAAGAATGTTAGAGAGTATATCACTATAAATTCTGTTCATATTTATTTAGTACTACTATGATATAAGCATCATTAGATCAAAGAAGAAATGCACATAGTATCAGCTACTTCACAAAACATAATAGAGCAATATACTATTCAATGACATACTAAATCACCATGCACAGTAAATCCTCCATAACTGATTTTCCTCATAAAATATCAGAATTTTTCATTATAAAAGTACAAGTCACCTGAATCTTCATCATTTTAAACAATACACCCAGCCATCCAGTAAATCAGAGTCATTTTAAACAATACACCCACCTATGTAAATCAGAGTCATTTTGACAGCTGTAGATAACATACTTTCTAATTCTGATAAGTTATCAAATATCAAAAACTTTTTTGCTTAAGTAAAAACCACATCCTGCACAAGACTGCTATAACATAATAAAACCAAAATTACTACGACAAAATTGTGTAAAATTAGTTCATCATTATAATCACAACTTTCTATAGTATTTGTTATAGAGTAAAATAATATGCACTGCATGATTCTTGTGTGAGTTTTCTAAATTGCTACTTTAAAAAATTATGCTAAATTTTAAATGTTCCTGGATAAACATGTTTATGATTTGTGTATAAATAGAACTTTGATAACTCTGCAACCTATTACAATTATGATAGAGACTTCTAGAAGTATCTTTTGTAATACTTTTCAATCAAATTTATTGAGAAAAACACAATTATTTAGCCTTGTTTCCGAACTTAAACAACTTTCGAAAATTAAAATCAGAGAAGAAAATCGCAGCTCATTTTGAATCATACATCTGCATAAAGGCTATGGGTATCAACAACTCTCAAAACTTCAATTATTTTTGAAAGAAATGAAATAATATTGTTGACATCTTTTAACTCTAGATGATATTTTATGGCACAGTTTGAAAGTATTTTGTTTTTTAACAAAATACTTTCAAACAAGTTTCTTTACAAAATACTTTCAATTTGTCTGAGAGTATTTTGTTTCTTTACTAAATACTTTCAGACAAGTTGAAACTTAATGCTTTTTAATTGGTTCAGTTGAACAGACAAGTTGAAACTTAATGCTTTTTAATTGGTTCAGTTGAAACTTCTTGCTTTTTAACACAACAACATCAGGAAGTTTAGATGCTACAATGTTAAAATGTGAAATCATTTATCAAAAAATTTTTTTTTTAAATTATCCAATCTTGGCCAAGATTTGAAAAGTTTACAAAATTTTCATAATTTTTTTTGTTTATCAAGGTATGCTATCTTGTATTTGCCTCTGAATTTTGCTATTTAATCCAACTCAAATTTCTTGAAAAAGACCTGATTTACCCTGTAACCATGAAAACTATAGATACAACATGACCACCTGCTCCTTTTGTGTGGCAGTTAAATTTTTTTTATTCAAAATGATGATTTGAATTGATTTTAATGACTTTAGAAGAAGTATTTTATATAAACATTTGGATCCACCAGATAACAACCATAAAACTTATCTTCAACCATAAAACATATCTTCAACCGCTTTTCCATAATCATTTCTCTGTGGTACTGCAACATAATATGGTCATGAACTTTATCTAATAGAAGAATGCAATTTTAATGTCAAATGTTTGTAAAGTTGGAAAAAATCTTTTTTAGATACCTCAATTAAAAAATTTTACTTTTGATTTTAGTTTTGTTAATGTTGTGATGCTAGTCTTCTCTGTAATGATTATTGCACATTATATATTGCAAGTACTATTTCAAGAAATTCAAAAATTGAAAATCAAACAGTTTTTAAAATATGCATTTATCTATTCAATATGGTAATTCGAAAAGAACTCTAATGAACTGAATCAATACTTCAACCAGACTCTGACTTAATTTCAGATAATATATCAACTTCATCAAAGTTGTAATTACAAATTATAACACATAAAGAATTTTTCTTTTTTTTTAAGGCAACAAATTATTTTTGGCAACAATATTATTTAAAAAATCATAGGTGCAGTTGTAAGATTTAAGACATGTGGAAAGCGCACATCTAAATTTTGTTTTGCGATTTTAAATCCAACATATACTAAATTTAGACGCAAGAGTACAACTGTAAACCATTGTTTTTTCTTTGTAAAGCTGAAGTCATTTTTCTTAAATAAAGCAATTCGTTAAAAACTTAAATGTTTATAAAACTTAATAAAAATTACACACTAAAAAAAAAGTAGAAATTTCTCCCTTAAGGTAGGATATATATATAATACTCTATCTTTTAAGGTAGAAAATTATACATTTAAGGTAAAAAATTGTATGACAAATAATTGTTTTTAATATAACTTTTTACTTTAAAAGGTAGAAAATTATACTTTACTACGGTATATCACATATCCTGTCTCAAGGTAGAAATTTCTACCTTTTTTTTGTATATGATAAGGCTAAATACAGACCAGAAAAAATATATTTTAATTATTTTATAGAAAACAATTACTTTTAATGCAAATTTTATTTTTTAACATTTTTATTTAGATTGGATTGTTTTTCTAATTTTAATTTAATTGATTTGTTTACAACTTATTCGTATTTGTAACTTAAATATAATGTTTGTTGTTTTTTTGCTTTTATTTCAATTGCTTTATTTAAATAAAACTTATATAAAAAGGTTTGTTTTGCTGTTTTTATTTTAATAATTCTAATTAAAATTTAAATTTATGTTATTTTTTCATTTTTTACTTAAACTATTTAAGTTAAAATTTAAATAAAATGTTATTTATTCCATTTTTATTTTAACTGTTTTATTTAGCATTTAAATAAAACATTTGTTTCACCATTTTTATATTTTTTAATCATATTTTGCCTTTTTATTTATCATAAGTGTTGAATCCTGACCCTAATTCTGAAGGCTAAAACATAAATGTAAAAATTTTGACAAACTACTTATATGACTTTGGCATTCAGTAAAAAATGAATTCAATGAGATTTCTGAATTTAACAAATTAATTAAAAACAAATTAATAAAAAATATTAAATAACATTAATTTATATATAGTATTATGTTATTCTAAAATAGTACAGTAATCCAGAGTAGAATAACATATAATAAAATTTATAAATTATTAATTAACTTACCACCAGTTCTTCCTGTAAAATGTACATTATCCTTCCACATAACAGGCACACGTATATCTATTTTTATGATTAAATAACTTATATTAAATTAATATCTGCATTACTTATTCTAAAAAATATTTAATGTTTTAGTTTCTTATTTAAAAATCTAAATACCTGATATTGCTATTTGTCCAGTACATGATTCAGAACGACTTGCTGCAGAGAAACTAAATAGAAGCTTTACTTATTAACTTTTAGGAATCTTAACTTATTATTTTTCAAAAAAACTAACTATCAAAACTTTTAAATTTTATTATCAGCCATTCAAATTTCTGTCTATTTGAAATTTAAAAAATTTATAAAATTTTTATAGCAACAAAATCTTGATTGGAATCCTTAAATCATATTAAATCTGAAGGTTTTTCTATCGCATACAAACTACAGTTTATTTAAGTTTTACAGTTTTTTTAAGTCATCTTTTAAATTGCTTTCTTGCTCCTTAATTCTTTTCTTTGCTTTCTGTTAACTATAAACTTGAATACTGATTGTTTTTAATCTTATTGTTTGATGAGTTCATTAAACAAAAAGTGAACAAAGTTTTCTGGAAAACAAGAGTTAACTATCTCAGTTAATTACTGGTGTTGCCACATTGGCAGTTTGCAGAAAAGCAATTTTTTTTCAATTATATGATAAAGCAATAAAAAATTGCATCAAATTCAATAAAAATTAACTCAAAATAAATCACCTAGTGATTTGCTCTATAAAAATGACAGCATCATACCTTACTAAATATCACTTCGTAACTAAGCATAACAGAAAATAACTTTAAAATAAATGCAGTCTTTGAAAATAGAATGATAAAGAACAATGAGAGAAGTAATAAAGGGTCGCCCGTAAAGCATGTACACCAATAACTTAGAATTTCTCCCCCTGTTGCCAAAGATTCTAAAAAGTACACACTCTTTTAAAAATTAAACCTCTCCCCTCTTGTATGAATTAAAAAAGTTATAACTTGAAAAATATATAAATTAAGAAATATTTTTTAAATTAGAGCATGTATACTTTTAATGCATTTGCAAACCCTACTCGAAAGACATTTAGCTAATCCCTCTCCCCTAACTACATGACAGAAAAGACCCCAAAGGACTTGGTTTCAGTACCGGATCCCAATTTTTAAGATCTATATATACACCAAAATTTAGTTTACACTCTATGTTGGAAGTTAGCGTGGCTTAGTGGGTAATGTGATAAAACCCAATGCTATGGATTAAATTGCAGTCAATCCATAGCTTATTTTTAATTTGTAAAAAACCTTATTTTAGTAAGTACACACATATCTGCAGTTTTTTTTAAATGATAAACTAAATAAATTAACTATAGTCTGGGCAAACATGTGTTTCAGCCTCCCCCCCCCCTCTCTTTAGTAAGTCCATAAAAAACAAGCCTTACACTAAATAAATAGTGTTAAAGAATTGCCTAAAACCTGTTTTTTACAAACTTACAAAAATGTCACCTCAAAGCTAGTGCTATAAAAGGTGGAATGTGTATGCATAGGGGGATGTTATACCTTCTTCCTTATGCATACACTCTTTTATGTTTAAAAAAGATAAATTACCTTTTCTATTGATTAGCTGGCAAATTATGGATAAAGAGAAGACAGTAATGTTTTTTTTTTAATTGATATTTGTTTTAAAACATTTAGCTATTAAATTATTGAAGTATTTTTAAAAGTATTAAAGTATTTGTTAATTGTGAAAAATTAGAAAAACAGACATTACCTTGGAATATTTTTTTAAATTAGCAGCTATATACTTTTATATTAAACCTCTCCAACCCCCCCCCCATACTTATTATGAGTATTTTATGTCAAAGTTGACTTTGACATAAAATACTCCTTGTCTTAAGGCTAAGAGCCTTAAGACAAGGAGTATTTTATGTCAAAGTCAACTTCTCCTAGCCTATCTAAAAAAATAAGCCCTAATAATAAGCAGCAATACATGTGGTAGGTTGTACTGGTTTACGTGTGAAGAATTTATCACAATAAGCTTTAACCATAATTTCAACTATACTAAGAAATGTTCTATTATAAACACCTATCATTAAAAAGTTTGAAAAAAATTGAATTAACTTGAATAAAAAAGGGGCAGCTTTTTTTAAATTTTAGTAAAAAATAGTTCAGAAATTTCTAAAAATAATTACATAACTGTTTTAAATAGCAAATTTGAAACAGTTATGCAATTATTCTTGTTCTTGTTCTTTCTGTGATATTTGTTTTTGAAATAGTATTAAAAAAATATAATTATTTTTTCACTTTTTAAAATTGAAAAGGAAATTGAAAATAGAAATTGAAAACAAAATATTGAAGAAGAAATTTAAAGTCTTTTGATTTTAAGTAATTTGAAATAAATATTTTAATAAATTGTTCAAAAATCAATATCACCCAAAAACCATTTTGAACTTATAAAATTATTTTACCAAAAAAAATAATTTCTGTAGAATGGCTTTGTGCTCTCTTGTGTAAAAGGAAGGATATTAGCCAACTTGGCTAAGGTGGTTAGCATCATTCTTTTTACATAGAATAGTAAGTATATAACGTATACTTGTAAGTATACAAAGCAAAAATATTGTTCAAATAATTGCTGTTATTGCTAAATATCTGTTAATAATATGGCAAATTAAAATGTTAATGCAGTATTTTAGCTGTTTTTACAACTTATGAATTAGTGACTGTTATAAATAATTTATTGCTTAATTTATATCAACCTTAGAATAATGCATTTACTCCTGGTAGTGCAATAATTCACAAAAGCAAATATCTTAATTTGAAATATCTGATTTTGTGTCAAATATTTGTCATTTTATATCTGGACTGTAGTCTTAAAGCTTTTGAAAATTCTAAAATATATAAAACAAGATAGGATTTCAAAGTACAAAAATTTAAAACTATTAACTTTAGAACTCCTAAAGTCCTGTTTTTTCTTACTGTGAAGTTTTGAAGTTTGTAAACACAGAGCTCTTGGACAAAGTATAAAAGGAATTTTGAACATTAAACCCACAAAAAGAAGTTTTTTTTGTAACCTTCTATTCATGGACAACTTGATATCTTTTTAATACCAACGTATCACCACTATTACCTTTTACTTCTATTATATTCTTGCAAAACACATTCTTGTTTTTGTTTTTGCAATGCACTCATTAGTCCAAGAATTCGTGCATTAATCGTGAGCAAATTTTTACTTGCTTCTAACGCTTGATTAAGTGTACTACATGCAGAAATTAGCTTCATTGCACCTTCTCTTATACGTATTTGATCGTTAAGTAAATGTTGAACATCCTCTCCGATATTCGGTTTAATAATCTAGGTGACAAAGTATTTTAATTAACGAATGGAAATTTCGAACTTTACAAGACAAAACTAAAATTAAGCATTTATTGGTTTAAAAAAGTTATAAGGATATATTTATCAAACTTTTTATTTCGTATTTTTTTTCAACATTATTAAGTATTAAAAATATTCACCTTATTCTCATCGCCGTCAGCCATTTTTCTTTTTTTTAAAATGTTTTCCTTCCCGAAATGTTGATAAAAGGTCGTTTGTTTACTTCCTTTGCTCACAGTAAAATGATTAATTTGTCGGCAAACTTTTGAATTAAACTTCAATTCCTGCGTCAGTATCATAGACTGAAGTTCAGTTTCTACATTATTTTCTTTCAAACTTTTAAGTACGTTATAACGTCTTTTAGGCATGCTTTGTTTTTTTATGTTAATTAAACACAATAACACACTATATGTTATAAGTGAAAACTGAAACAAATGAAGTTAACCGCCTTTTTATTAAAACAAGTTTTTCTGCACTGGGAGCGAATAGAAAAAAAGCTAATAATAAAACGATCAAATTCTTCTACTTCACACTTGAGTATGTTTGCTGAATATACCCAGTGGAATTTTGTAATTTGCTACACTTTACCAACCAATTAACTTTTTATAAAAACATAAAAAAATCTATTTCTTTAAAAGTTCATTCATCCAAAGACTTATAAGATAAAAAAGGTTCATATATATATATATATATATATATATATATATATATATATATATATATATATATATATATATATATATATATATATATATATATATATATATATATATATATATATATATATATATATACGCATCATTAATAGTTCAGTATACACTCAATATAATTGACAAATAAATCTTTCATTATAGTTCTTTTAATGGTTTTAGTCTTTAAATGGTAAACCATACAAGGCTGGCACGAGTTGATATCAAGTGGTAAAGTATGTTTCAAGGTTACGGGTCTTACCAAAAAAAAAAAAAAAAAGTTTTCAAATTCTTCAACATGACAACTAGAGATAAATAGTCTATGTTAAATTTTGACAACTGCATCTAAAAAATGGTTCCATTTTGTCGACTGAAGGTACAAATAGGTCCTAATTTGCCGACTAATGGTGTAAATATTCATTGAATGAGGGGGTAGGGTGTCACACACCCGCAAACCCCCTTTGCGCCTATAACTATTATATTATGTCTTCATATTTATATCTTCAAATATATCTATAAGAATATCTTCAAATGGTTTACTATAAAATTATAGCCGTCTAAAGAGCGTTTTAAAAAGTAAAAATAAAAAGTTCTTTAAACTTTGAAAATTTTTTGCTGTTGCAATCCAATTTTTATTACTTGATTATTTATGGAAATATTTTCACTATTAATTACATTTGATACGCGGCGTTAATTATTAAATATTAAATTAGCGTTAAATATTAAAAACAATATTAATTTTTAAAAAAAATACAGGTAAAAAATAAAAAAATTTTTAAGTAGGATAGTGTTTCAAAATAATCATAAATAATAATAAACTAAATAATGAAAGCTTAAAATTAAAAAAAGATAACCGCGCGAATACTTTTATGCAAGTAATTAAATTTAAAATGACATGCATGATTTATGCCTAAATTAAAAACAAGATGCTTGATTTATGCATAAATTAAAAAAACATGCCTGATTTATGTCTAAATTAAAAAAAAATTGTACGAATAATAAACATCTTTTTTAGATGTTTATTATTCGTATCTTTCACACTTGGAGCAACTTCAAACTTGAGTGTGTTTATGCTTATCAAATGAAAATGCTTTTCACAAAATCGCTACTATCTAAGACTGGAAAAAAACTTGTACGCCCTTCTGAAAAATTAAATTACAATCTTTAATTCGAAGTCTTCACTTACTTTTTTTGGAGGCCATTTTATTATTCAGGACCTACCTAAAGTCAAAAATATTATTGAAATTACATTTAATTGAAAAAAACAGCCTGACTTATTTACATTTATTGGTTTTAAACGAAAGCGCACGATTTTTAAATTTTGTTCGCGCGTTAAGTTTTAAAATATGATTTAAAATATCATACACAACTTGTTGTGAACAACTAATGCGTTTTTTATTTTTGGAATGTGAAATTTAACAAAAATTTAAAATAATTGTTCTACTGTATTTTAATTTACTCTATAATGTTATATTTTGCGTTGTAATAATAGTTATCATAGTAATAACAATGCTTTGGAAAAACATGACAAGATGTATTATTTTAATATTGTTTTAAAAAGGCTTATTGGATATTCAGATACTTCCCGAAGAGATTTTAAAGGAAGGGGGGGGGGTGATATGTCTGTTTTTTGCCGACTAAAGCCAAAAAAAAATTTTTTGGTCACTAAGTTATCTAAAAAAAAAAAAAAACCCTCGTTTTCCAATATTTGCCGACTGCCAATAGTAGATCCTATTTGCCGACTCCTGTTCCCTTTTTGTCGACCGAAAAAATTCGAAGGGAGGCTAGACACCCCCTGCAGTAAATATGGGTAGCAATTTTATATTATTAATTTTACTACTTTAAGTATATTAAAATATATATTAAATTCGTTTTCATTAAAATATTTTACCAATAGTTAACGACTGCTAATAGAAACTTTTTCGCTTTAACGTTTTTCGTTAAGCGACCATGAACCATAAATATGCGAGACATTAAAGGATACGTAAATTTTATAATTTATAAATTAAATTCTTGGAAATAAGTAAGTCTATTTCAGAAGCTTAAAAATTGAACGCTTTGTTCCAACAGAAATTGAACGTTTAAACAAAAAGTAAACACTATTGACATTAATTAGGTCCATAGCTTTACTTTCCAACTTGAATCAGGTCATTTGATTTTAATCATTCGTTCCAAGACCCTCGAGTTTACATTTTAAAACATCGATGTTGTACTGCGATAGTTTTTGTGTACCGCTACTTTAAACTGCTCAGTAGAGCGATTATTTAACGCATCAAACTGGACAAGAGATCTCCACATTCAACAGTTGGACAAGAGAATTTGTCGGGACTTTGAATCCTACACATTGAAAGTGAAATGCACAACAAAATTGATAGTGAGAGCTAATTGATTGATTGTTAATTTGAGATGTAATTGATTGTTTTGCTGAAACCAAATGTCGTTGAATAGTGTTTAAAGCTAAACATTGTTAAATTGGTTTTTCATACTTTGCGGTTGTCCAGGTGATATTCTAATTATTAAATCAAGTTAAAGAAATATGAAAAAAAAAAAAAAAAAAAAAATTATTTTCATTGTTCTTTATAAATTAGATTGATACTTTATAAATTAGATAGATACTTAATAACTTATTGGTACAGTATAACAAACACTATAATCTACACTATAAAGCTAAAAACAAGACCATAATGATCTTCTTTAAGATATATTATTTTCAATAATAGTAGTATTTGTTTATTTTATAAATTATATTAATTTATATTTACTCTCATTATATTGTAAAAACGAACTAAGTAAAATGTAAACTTAAAAATAAAAATAAAAATTATCAGTTTGAGCATTTTTAGTTTCTTATTAGACAAATAGTTTAGGTATTAAACTTAGTTTTATACACGTGAGCAAAGATGGACGATCACAAAGCATTTCTTGGCTGTAATTATTTGTTGCAACGTACCACATAGGTCAGTGATTTTCACAAAAAAAATTTTTTATTTGACATATTGTCTGTTGATATTTCTGATAGACACATTTTTTTTCCTCCCTGCTTACGAAGTTTAATGTTAGTTTTATTAATTAGGAGATTAAGTAGGATGAGGTAATTTTGTTTTGTTTCCTTTGTGAAAAAAGAAATGTTTCGTTTCTTAAACATTCAAAAGCAGTTTATTGCATATAAGCCATTCATTTGCTTTTTTTAATTCTTCATTTAATTACTTTAAAAAGTGTTTTAATATTTTTATAAAAATAAAAAAGATTAGAGTTGTCTGCAAATAATATAAGATTTAAAAGTCTTGATGTCAAAGATAAATCATTTATGTATAATAAAAAAGGTAAACGCTTTAACAAAATTGAGCTAGAAAAAGTTTATAAGCAGTGTTAGCATCACGTGATTGAAGAACAAAATCACAATCAACGTAGTTGATTAGAGGGTTGCGAAAGTGTTGTGTGGAGTTTTGATCTGTCGCTTGAATATATTTTTGAGAAGGTATTATATAAATTCATGCTGTTTGTGTTAAGAAATTTTAAAAAAAAAACCTGTAAAATCAGTTTACTATACCTGTACTTAATCAGCTATTTAAAAAAAATAATATTATAGATTAGAGTAGAAGAACCTTTTGTGATGCTTGCTGCTTTGGATTAAAATTATTTTGCAAAAGAGTATTTACAAAACCTTTAACACTATTATTTGACGATGGTTCAAAAGATTTATTTTAGGTCATTGACGAAGTAAACATTCTTTTGTGTTTAACTAAGTTTCGTTAAAAAAGTGCGTAGGCAAGTTTAAAAATTATTTAAATTACCAACTGGTTCTTTATAAGTAGGATTAACAATTATGTTTTTAGAATTTTCAATAATATTTTCAATGCACAATGACTTCAACCTTTTTCATTAACACTGAGGTCATTACGTGATATATAAAAACACTTCCAACAGTACGGAAGTTTTGTGTTCGGTTTATTTATAATTTAAACGTAAATTGTTAATTCAAATTATAAATTATGTTCCTCATAATTATACCAGGTCTCTGTAATGCTAATATTTTCCAATGTTGGTATAATATTGTTTACCATTATGAGCGCAATATCGCATATCTTGTTCGGTATCCGCCAAGATACCCGACATCATTTGGTGGATCCAGACCATTAAGTAAGGAGGGGGGGGAGGTTAGCAATTCCACAAATCTTTTTTATATAGTTTTCGTTTGAATATTACTCTTTTTTTCTGTCATACTTTTATAGTTATACTTATATATATTACTCTTTAATTTTAATCTTTAATTCTAAATAAACTACTTTAACCAATTTAGCTAAGGGGGAAGGACTGAATGCAGTGTCCGCCCCCCCCCCACCCCAGTGTTTTAGTTTGGGACTATCACCCCCTCTGACCCCTGTTTCTACGCCAATGATAACAACACACTTTCTTTTCATTTTTTTACTTTTCATTCAGTTTTTTATTAATGATTTATTAATATAATATTTTATTATTAATTTGATATTAGTAATGCTTGCTTTAAACATAGTCAAAAGAACAAATAGTCTGGAAATAAAGGCCGTTTCTATTGTTTTGCCGTTTTATGTTAAAAATCGTATCAACGACCCGCTGAAGGTGTACAAAAAGATAAAAAGATAAACAAAAGTTATGACTATTTATGAGTATTTCTTATGACTATGCTTTAAATATATTCAAAGTGACATAATAAACTGAACATTACCTATAGCTTCTCTAAAATTCTTTTAAATAATTATCTCTACAATTATCTCAGTTAATCTTATTGTTTTTTATAATTTTGAAAGAATAATTTACGTAATACAAACCTGATAAATTAACAAAGTATTTGTTTTAATAGAAACCAGTGTTTTTATTCAGCAGGTAACAGCAATTAAAAGAAACCAGTGTTTTTATTCAGTAGGTAACAAAAATTAATAGAAACCAGTGCTTTTTATTCAGCAGGTAACAGCAATTAAATTGAGTTTATTGAATGATTAAGTTAAGTTTTTAATAAAATGACTTAAACGACACTTAAACTTTATAGTAATAAAAAAATGACTTTCAAAATCAGTAGTTTTAAGCAATTTTGAAATATTAGTTTAATATAAGTTTACAATTAAAAAAAAAAAAGTTATGATTGTTGCCATAGTTATTATTATTTTTTCAAAACGCGATGAAGAGAACTTAATCTTTTTTGGTCGCAGAGTAGTTTAGATTCATTCTTTATTGTATCAAAGAAAGAAAGTTTTATTGAAATACCTTCAACTAGTTTTACTGCTACTATTAAGGATACTAAAAGAACGAATAAACTTAAAACCGCATCAGCAACGCCACCGGAACATCAGCAACACCACTGGAACATCAGCACCACCACCGGAAATAAGTATTAGTATTGCTATTCAACATGTTGAACATGAGAAATCAGAACAACAAGACAACGACATAAACGGAAAAAGGCAGAACTACATCCACTAAAATTAGCCGAACATTTTTAAGTCAGATTTCAAAGGCTGGGTTTATTAATGACATTGGAAACTTTGTCGTTACAACTATTGATGATAAAACTATAAAAAAACCTGTTAGAATTGCCATTGAAACCATCACCTTACTACAAAATGTCGCATTCAGTTCACATCAAGAAAAATAATCGAGAAAAGCGATATCTTAATCATTCTCATTTGGAAAAATACGAATCGTTAGTATATTCAGATGGAAAAAAGGGACTGGTACTGGAATATAAGGGACTGATACTGCAAATATTGTGCATGATTTTTATACCACTGGACTGCAGGATCTCACAAACAAGTTGCACTTCAGATGCTAGTTAAGCAACTATTACAGGTGTTTGCTAAACTATAATAAACCAGCAATGGATATTGTAAACAGAGTAAACACTCATCGGCTTCAACAGGTTTTAGAAAATTGTCAACGATTGACATCTATTGTTAAAACAGTTGTATTTTTAGGAAGGCAAAATATGAAGGTAATTTTTGAGAGTTGCTAAAAACTTAGAGTAAACTGTGGCGATTTAAATTTAGAAAATCATTTGAAAACGGCTAGAGCTTCTGCAACATACATTAGCAAAACTACACAAAATGCTTTAATTGAATGCTGTGGAGAAGAAATATGTGAACAAATTGTGAGTTATAATGCATCCATTTACAATGAGCCTATTCTTGACGGCAAAGTTTTGGTCAATTGATTATAAATATGGTGAAAAAAAAGTTACACCTTTCTTTAGAAAAATGTGTCGGTGTGGAAATAGATGGTTGTAGATGTCGTCATTGCAAAAAGGAGTAGTAGTCGAAACTCAACAAGTTGCATCAAATTCTGTTTGGTGTTCATGTTATATTCATGCTTTAAATTTAATTTTATCCAAGAGTTCAAACGTACAAGCAATAAGAAATGGTTAGAAGTTTATTAGCGAAGTTGTTGATTTTTTCAATGCTTCTGCTAAACGAAATTTTATTATTAAAAAAATGCTAAATTCACAACTGTTTTCACTCTGCGAAACACGATGGGTTGAAAGACATGATGTTTTGCAGACTTTTAGTGTTCCACAAATTGTGCTTCCATAATTGAGCTTCCACAAATAATTGATACATTGGACAATATATCTAGATGGAATGACAGAGTATTTTCATCAAAAGCAAGAATTTTATTATTGTTAATTAGAAAAAGTGATTTTATTGTATCTTTAGGCTGTGCAATACATGTGCTCTCTTTAACAAATGGGCTTAGTCAGTTGTTTCAAAAAAAGGTTTAGATTTACTTAAAGCAATAAATTGCATTAAAGACCTGTTAATTGTTTTAAAACATAAAAAAAAAAACTGCTTAAGAAATGTTTAAGGAAATTTTTAGAGCCGCAGAAAAAACAATAATTGAAAAAGATGGTAGTTTTATCAACAAAAGAATAGTACAACGACAGACATGTTGTGAAAATATATCTTCAGATACAATGAAATAATACTACAGACGATTAATTTACATTCCTCTACTTAATGCGTTGATATTGGTCATAAACACAAGTTTTTCTAATAAAAATTTACAATGTCTTCAAATCTATGTTTTGATGCCAAAAAAAATTATTACACTGAATTATAAAGATATAACAAATAAGTTATAAAGATATAAAGATATAAACATAAAGATATAACAAATAAGTTAAATAATTTAAATAGATAATAGTTGAATCTCTTTCTGCAATCAGTAATGTCTATGACGTCATTCTTGGACTTAGTATCCAAAACTTACCTGCACCTGAATTTACATAGGAAGTTGAACTATTGAAGTGCAAATGTATAAGGATGAAAGATGAGGGAGGAATCACATCACTACCTACTGAACTTTTGGTTGTTTTTGATTTGTGTGACCAGGTGCAATATCCAATCACTCACAAGTTGTTTCAAATTATCAAGTCTTGTCCTGTAAGTGTCGCCAGTGCTGAACGTAGCTTTTTAACCTTGCGAAAAATTAAAAATTGTCTGAGAACACGAATAACAGAAAACAGATAAGTCGGATTGGCCTTAGTTAATGTGCACAGATAAATTCCAGTAAATGCTTAAAAAGTGATTGACTGTTTTACGAAGTCGTGAAATCGTAAATTAGAATTTGTAATATGAGTTGTTAAAATAATCAACAAACCAAGTATGCTTTTTTTTTTATAAACGGCTACATACACTAAAAACAAAAAAATATTTTTTTAAATCATGTAAATGAAGGAAAGTGGGGGAGAGGAGGCGAGGCGATTTTCCTTCTCCTCACCCCCCCCTCCTTGATGGATCCGCCCTTGCCCAACATTGCACCATTATTGTACAAATATTTCTTGCTACTATGACAATATTGAACCGTATGCTCATATTGGTCAATATTGGCCAATATGAGCATACCAATATGAGGATGCCAATACGGTCAAATGAAATATCAAATCAAACTATATAGATTATAAGCTTTTAATACATTTAAGATAAAATTAAATTTATGTTTACTCAAGAACATGTCAGTACTTAAAACCAAATTAGCCACTGCATCCTTTTTAATATCTTCTAAGGTTATACCTAATTTTTTTGATAACAAGGTTTTTTACTCTAAAAAAACAAACGGCATTTTCACAGCATTTATGTACCCAGATTCTTTTATACCGTTATTTATAGCTTACATATTCACGGATCCGAAGAATTTGTTTTTATTATATTCGCTGTTATATTATGCTGTTATGTTATGATGTTATGTTTAAAGATGTTTGCTGTTATGCTTGTTGCTATATTTACTGATGGTTTTGCATTTATACTTGTTGTTATATATGATGTCACACGTGACAGCAAATATATCAAAAAGATATCATTGCAATGATCTCACATTTTGACATATTTAAATCAGAAGTTTTGAAACTGACACATTAGTTACTTTTTTTAGAAGTATGTTATCAATAAAAAGCGGTGCCATGTCATTTAGTATAAGATTTTTTTTGTGATTTGGATAGAAAAAAATCCATTTCGTTTTATCAATATTAAGAGACTTTTTTATTTCTTTTTTTTTTCCATTTTTCACCAATATAATGCCAGGATACCATCTTAACAAAAGCGTTAAATTTCTTGTCGAATTAACAAAAACATTTTTTTGCTTTAAATATTTTAAAAAATGTAGGTGTTAGGGAAAGGGGGGGGGGTTGGGAGTCAAACCCCACCTCTGGGCAGGTTTTGCAACATCGATTAGGAAAGAGGTGTGAACTTCCAGTTAAATGCTCATCAGCGGTGCTCTGTGATAAAACCGTAAGGACTTCTTGAGGGACCTAAAGGGGAGAGATTTTTAGTTTTTTTTTTTTTTTTTTTGATTTTGTTGATCCAAACAATCTTGCGAATGAGGGGATAGATCAGAGCCGTCCCGAACGAGGGGTGTAGGGGTGTCCCCCCTCCTCCAAGCTGTTATATATGCATTTGAGTTGGCAAGTTTTGAAGTATAGTTGGCAAATGTCAAATATCTTTTTTTTGTGTGTGTGTGTCTTTAGTTGGTAAAAAGAACATACAACACCCGCCATGAGAGACCTCTTCGGGGAGGCCCTGGGTGAGATTTTTAAATTAAATGACTTCTGAGCAGACAAGCCCACAAAAAAACTTTAAGAGTTGATTTTTCTATGATTACTGCCTTAATCTATGTACTTATGAAACTACCTCATATATTGATATCTCAACAGTTCGATTTATAATTTTATTAAAACTTCGCATCACTTTTAAATTGTCTTTCTAATTTATTTAATTTTCAAACAACATGCTTTGTTAAATATATAAATTTACAAAAAAAATTTCTTTCTAAAATATCTAAGGAGGAAAACAATTTCAGTATATTTTTTATTTTTTATTTATTTATTTCTACCCCCTCCCCTTAGCTTCATAGCTCCGTAAAAGGTATATTAGTATCAAAGATACAGTCTTAAATGAAGGTTAATAATAAATACTTTTATAACAAAAATATTATTTAAAATAAGAATAATTTCTTAACATTCATACGAGATATTTAACAAATAAAATAAAAAAGCTTATAAATGCGTAAAAAAAAATGTTTGAAAAGATTAACTGCTTTAGCGCTTATTTCTTTCCTCATTTAGAACAAATTTGAAAAGGAGAGGCAAGTATTGAATATACTCATCGTCAGCTAATTCATCTACAAGTGTTTTCCACATTGAAGAAGTCTGAAACTGTCGCAAGCAATTTATAATTTTTTCAGCTTTTGCTCCTAATGTTTTGCATATTTCAGCAACATCTTGGGCTACTGGTATTTTTGTATACGTGGTTGTGTGCGCGGTAGAAATGTTCGTTCTTTGCTTCATTGGGATGTTATCTGATGTTTGATTTGATTGGTTAACTTGATTTTCTTTAATTGTTACTAAAAACGTCTCATCTGTTTCCTAAATTATTTTATTTACAAAACATTAATATTCCAAAGAAATAAAACAAAAATTTAAAGTTTAGCTTTTTAGATTTTTTTTTTTGAATGTATTTTAAAAATTCAAAAATATTTATCTTTAAAACTTTTAACATGTTTATTTTATATTATAAAACTTTTAACTTTAAAAACTTGAATATTTTTACTTTATTTTGTAACTTTTTATCTAAAAAAGTGTCACACAATTAAAGATATAAAATGTGTTAAAAAATAATGTGTCACATAAAATTGTTTATAAGTGTATAAAGTATAAAAAGCAGTTGCTTTAAAAACTAAAGATAAATATACTTAGTTCAAGTAGATTCAACTTTTGGTTAATAGTAAACCAATAGTTTTAGATTAACTATTAGTTAACCTGTAAATATAGCTAATTGGTATCTTTAAAGTAGTTAGAGATTACTTTTGCTTTTTCATCTTTTTTATAAATTTATTTATTAAATTACATTTTTAATTTTTTTTATAAATTTATTATCAAATTTTTTTTGGAATCAAGCTTTTATATTTATTCATAAAAATTAAATGTTAATAAAGATTAGTTTCAAATATTTTCATTATTTGCGAAAATAATGAAAATACTTGAAACTAATCTTTACTAACATTTAATTTTGCAATTGCATGTCTTTTACTAATTGTTACTAATGGTAATCATGCAATTGCATGTCTCTTACTAATGGTTTTTTTTGGAGGGGGAGAGGGGGAGGGGGGTGAAATGATTTTTTTTTTTGTGTTGGAAGATTAAAGATTTTTTACCCATTCAATACTACAATAGTTATATTAACTATGTATGAATAAATAGTATAAACTTTTGATACACACTTTTTTTTAAACTTATTTTGTATGTAATCCACAAAACTTTTAAAAGTTGGTCTAAATAATCTTATTTGATTGTTAAAATTTAAATGTTCGTTAAAAATTATTCAAAGTGTTTTTATTTAAAATAAAAACAACCTACACTGTTCTCCAGAACATTAGCAACCAAATAAAAAAAATTGTTTTTATCCTTCGATTACTAATTACAGCAATTTTTTAAATTTACGCTCTAAATGAAAAAAAAAAGGCTAATATTTTATATAAGAAAAAAAATTTGTACATAATAACACTACTTGAAAATGAATAAACGTGTTTTTTTGGTTAAATTGGTATTGGTGTTAATTGGCAAAAATATCACGATAACTATATTGGTTCATAATACCATTTATTCTGTAACTAGGTCCGACTCTACTAGCTCAACTAAAACCAGAAAACCAACCCTAAACCATTGTACCTTTTCCACCACCATGCTTGATTGTTCTACTAGTGTATTTGGGATCTAAGTGTTTACTTTTAGGCTTACATAACTTTAACTTGCCATTAGGACCTTTTAAATTTTACTTTGATTCATCGCTCCACAAAACTCTATTTCAATCATTTATGGCCCAGTCTCTATGAGCATTTACAAATTCAATTCTAGCTTTTCGATTCTTCTGAAAAATGAAAGGTTTATAATGCTCAGAAGTTCTAAAAGTTATAACCTTCGACAAACTGTATTTTGAGACACGGAAAGGTTAAGTTTATTAATGATATCATTAGCACTGTCGAAAAGATTCTACATAATCTGACGAATAATTTTTCTGTCGGTGAAACAACGTGTTTTGCGTGGTGTTCCGCCTTTACCCAGTGGGCACGGGACATAAAAAAGAAGTCTTTTGAACGTCTTTTAAACGTATCGAACGTCTTTTGAACGTTTTAAACGTCTTTTGAACGTTCAAAAGACGTCTTTTTTTAGAAACAGAACATACCCCACTGAGTATGTTCTGTTTCTAAAGGACTATATTTAACAAATAGCTTGATTATTCGACATACAATTGACTTGTTAATGAAGTATTTTGTTGCAATTTCTTTTTGTTTGATTCTTTCTTATAATCTTTTACAATACGTTACAATACGAAAAGCTAAACTATAATTGTTTCCTGCCATTATAAAGTCCAAAACAGAATAAATATCTCAAATTAATATTGTAATGATTGCAACACTCTCTGGACAAAAATTAGTCGATTCTGATCAAAGTATTAATAATCAGTGTATAAGTTTTAATGATCCGTGGCGAATACATAGGGGTAAGAGGGTTACCCCCCTCTTCCTCCTCCTTCTCCTAATAAATGTCAAAGAAAAAATATTATTGAAAAAATTATAAAAGAAATAACAAAATACAAAAAATCATTCTGCAGCAATTTATTTACATCTTTTTTTTTTTTTTTTTTTTGCAAAACTAAGACTATTTCATACCATTACAAAAAAAAATCTATTGTTGCATTTTCAACATTTTTACGATACCAAAGAAAAACGATGAAAGTTTCTTAAAAACATTTAGAAAAAAAAAACGGAGTGTCTATTCGCACGTTTAATTAAAAAAAGGTAAAGATCGTCGAATTTAAAGGGAATTTAAAAAAAAATAGATTTATTATTATTGGTTTTTAACTTTAAAATTAAACTAGTACAGTGAAGTACTAACGCAGTACTTACGTTGACTTTTGAAGGATATGCGCATGTTGAAGGATATGCGCACCATAGTGTATATACATAATGACTGCTTATTTAGAGATAGGCACAGTGTAGTATAAATACAATGACGAGGGTTTTCGCTTGGGCAGGCAATCTTTTAATTAAAAAAAAGAAGTATTTTTTAATGTTTATTTTATTTATTGGCACGTTTTTGTTTGTTTTTTTGAATAAAAATTTAATTACGCTTAAGTAGTTTTATTTATTTTGATTAAAAAGATTAAATTGCTTTAAAAATATAAGTCTTAAGTTATAAACATTTTTTGTTTGTGAGAGATTTCATATTAAAAATCTAACTTGAAATTTTTTTTTAAACGTGCGAATAGACTATAATAAGATCTATTCACACGTGCGTGCAAATAGACTCGCCCAAAAAAATATATAGATTTGGTTTTAATGTGTAAACTTTTTTTTTTAATTTAATTTTAATTTTTAGTATAATTTATATAGGGTAAGTGGGGGCATAACCGCCTCCGTAACTTTTGGATTAATGTTATATGAAAATAAAAACGAAATGTGTTTTTTTAGCAGTTTATTTCAATAACCACATCATTAAGCTTTAAATTGATGCATTTAAGAAAAAAGTTGAACGGGTTTTGAAAATGTAATTACACAAAAATTACACTTAGTGAAAAAAACGGTTTTGCCCCCATTGTGAGGCACAACCGCACCCTTACAAAAATCGATGGGGTTACACCTTTCATGGTACATTTTTTTTACAATTTTCACAGCTCAGATTATTTGATGATTTTGTTGCATGTTTGGATACTGTGCAGGCATTCTTAGTATTTACATTTTGAGTTCTGCCCCAGAAGAGAGTTCTGCTTCAGAAAAGAGTTTTTAGAAAAAATTCAGTTTCATAGTTTAATTATGGTATTATCAAAAATGGCTTTCACTTCATGAAATAATGCTGATAACATATATGTTTAACACTAAAATCAAATATTGCTTAATTCTCAAAAAAAAAAGTCAGGAAAATATGATGTAAATATAATATTTTTATGAAAATGAACATTATTATTCACAACTTCTCAGAAACTTAACAGTCACTCTTTTTGACATATGCAAAATGAAGGAAAATGCTTTACTAACGTGTGGTATTTTTTTTTCCATATTAGAAAACATTTTTTTGAAGAGAAATGTTAAAAAACGGTTGTGCCTCCATATGCGGTTATGCCCCCACTTCCCCTACACGATGGCGTTTTTGGTAGTTAAAATTTTAATAAAAAAGTATTTATTTTTCAACAATTGAAATTGTAACACTTTAATTTATATTACACTTAAATACACTTCAAGTTGTATTTAAATAAGATACGAAGAATTTTTTTTTAAATAGTAACTGAATGAATTTCTTTTGAATTATTTTCTTATTTAGAAAACAAAAGTATGCTTATTACTATTTAAAAAAAAATAAATGACAAACGATTTTTACTATTTTAAATGAAATTATTTTTATTAGCTACATTGACCAACAGGGTAAAGAGAACGAGCTCTTTAAATAACTATTTTTTCAAAAGAACCAAAATTCTACCAATACAGGATCATGCTGGTCCTATCGTTTTACCTTTATCTTCCGCGTCATCATCCGAACGATTTAATTGTGTTTTTATTCGCGGGGCAGAAAACAATCAAATTACAATGAAACTCGGTATGGAAGCTGCTAGTTTTACAAGTCAAAGTAACGCAGAAATTAATAAAGAAGATTCAATACCCGGGACAAAAGATGATTTGATTAAAAAAGAAAAGGGGCATTTTTAAAACGTCAAGTAAACGTCAACTGAACAAGATAAATACCGAAAATTGAAATGCAATTGGTTTCCTGGTCCAAATTACAAATATCCATATTCTGTGCATTTAAAGAAGGATAAGAATGTTAATTGCTTTTTATTCAAGAAACGTATACATAAATTTTCCGTGAATAATGATTTCAGATTGCCTTTATGGAATTTTTTGTAAGTATTGCATTCTTTGTACAAAAGTTCGGGGTGCAATTACTCAAGCTAGTTACTTTACCTCTTAAAAGTTATTTAAGGCTTTTGGGTAAGGATGAAAACTTACAATTATATGATTGCAATGCGAATCATAAAGTTGCTATGTTGGCAGCATCAGATTTCATTAGAAAATATGAATGTTCGTCTACAGATGTAAGTAATTTAACGAAGGAAGACTTAAGCAGGCTTAAGAAAATTGAGACTAAAGTCTATAATTGAATTTAAAATATATCTTGTTCGAGAGAATATTGCTTTGCGAGGTCATCGCGATGATGGGCAGATCTTTGAAATATATCAAAACTCATCAGTATTTAATGATAGCAGTATTTGGGAATTGCTTCACTTTCGAGTGAGCGTTGGGGACGATATTTTAAAAAACCATTTAAATAACTTTAATTCTAAAGCAACATATATAAATAAAAATATTTAAAAT